GTGCAGTGGCATGATCTCGGCTTACTGCAACTTCCACCTCCCAGGTTCAAGTGATTCTCTTGCCTCAACCTCCTGAGTAGCTGGGATTACAGGCATGTGCCACCATGCCCAGCTAATTTTTTTGTATTTTTAGTAGAGACAGCGTTTCTCCATGTTGGTCAGGCTGGTCTTGAACTCCCAGCCTCAGGTGATCCACCCATCTCAGCCTCCCAAAGTGCTGGGATTACAGGCGTGAGCCACCGCACCCAGCTGCTGCATTTCTTCTGACAGTTAATGAACAGGTGTTAGTGTCACTCTTAGAAGGCCATTCAGAGTATTAAATGAGCTAATAGATAATACATGCTTAATATAGGTCCTGGCATATATCTGTATGTATATATGACTATATATTGAGGCAGGGTCTTGCTGTGCTGTCCAGGCCGTAGTGCAGTTGCACAAAGTGACTCACTGCAGCCTCTACCTTTCAGGCTTAAATGATCTTCTCACTTCAGCCTCCCAAGTATCTGGAACTACAGGCATGCACCACCACACCCAGCTAATTTTTGTATTTTTTGTAGAGACAGGGTTTTGCCATGTTGGCCAGGCTGGTCTCCAACTCCTGGGTTCAAGCAGTCTGCTGATCTTGGCCTCCCAAAGTGCCGCGATTACAAGTGTGAGCCACTTCGCCTGGGCATGTATTAAATATATTTAATTGAAGAAAAGGAAATGAAATAGCAAAATGAGTGGAAGAATGGTGAGTCAAAAGGTAAGCTGCGTTAGGTAGAGAGATTTTTTCGACTTTGTTCACTGTTCTATTTATCCCCATGACCTTGAAGAGTAACTGGCACATATGGACACTCAACAAATATTGAATAAACAAGTTAATAAGTGAATGAACAGAATTAGTACAGTTTATCATAGAAGCTATTGAAGGAGAATTTAAAAGATGATTATGTCAAAAGTAAAATCCGTGTTTTTCTGCATTTTACGTATATGATCTTGCTCTGGTTCTATGTAACTCTGGCAGATGCTGGAACATTTTTCTCTTTTGCAGGCATAATGAGACACAACAAAACAATATATTTGCTCAAATGTATGGGCGAATTGATAACCAGGCTCACCTGAATTCAGATTTCCTAGTGCCTTGGATCCTAAGTAAAGGCACTGGCTTCTGATGTTGAGGGTTACTCTAGTTTTGAGGAGGGTATGATGGAGTGGATCAGCTTGCTTCTTCTCCTGCTGGCTCTAGAGTTGCTGAGCTTAAGCTGTTTTGTCTCTAACTGGCTGACAGAATGTCATCTGTAGCTTTGTTCTTAGAAACACATTTCCCTTACAGCACATCCATGCATTGAAGTGGTGGACTGGATTATATGTAGATGTCATTGTATTTACAAATGCTATGTGGAATGCCTCGCCAGGCAGTTTCTGGTTTAATAGGAATAATCTGACTTAAATTTGTATATTCTTCTGGGAGTTCTTTTGGGTTGAATAAAGCATCTCTGTTTTTGTCAATACGACCAAATTTTAATCCACTCCCTCCTTAATTTGTAGCATAAATCCATCCTCTGACTCATTTACAGGTTGCAGAGTTGCAAGTCTTTTAGCTAATACCACTCTCAACCATCCTCCTTCTCTAATGTTCCTCTCCAATTGTGTCCTGCCTTCTGTGACATCATTAAAACATGGAATCTGCAGTCATCTGACCATATTCCTCCCTGCTGTGACATCATTAAAACACGGAATCTGCAGTCATCTGACCATTATTCCTCCCTGCTCTGTGACATCATTAAAACATAGAATTTGCAGTTATCTGACCATATTGCTCCCTACCCTGTGACATCATTAAAACATGGAATCTGCAGTCATCTGACCATACTCCTCCCTGCTCTGTGACATGATTAAAACATGGAATCTGCAGTCATCTGACCATTATTCCTCCCTACTCTGTGACATCATTAAAACATGGAATCTGCAGTCATCTGACCATTATTCCTCCCTACTCTGTGACATGATTAAAACATGGAATCTGCAGTCATCTGACCATAATCCTCCCTGCTCTGTGATGTCATTAAAACATGGAATCTGCAGTCATCTGACCATATTCCTCCCTGCTCTGTGACATCATTAAAACATGGAATCTGCAGTCATCTGACCATATTTCTCCCTACTCTGTGACATCTTTAAACATGAAATCTGCAGTCATCTGACCATTATTCCTCCCTACTCTTTTTTGTAACTTCTTTGGCATCATGGCTTTGGGCTCCTGAAACCATTTCTTCAGGACAACAGTGTTTTCTTCCTTACTTTGAACCCTTTCATGGAGGCTCTCAGATCTCCTTGGCCAAACCCTTTGCTTCAGCTTTGGGGATTCACAATCTCCTAGCTCCATAGCTCCCAAATCAGCCCAATTTGTTACCAAACCAGGAGTTCGGTCTAGGTCCTGCTGCTCACCACACAGAAAGCCAATCACTGATACAACAATCATTGCCAAACAAGAAGCTTTTCATCAGGTGCTGCAGCAGAGGAAATAGGAGCTTAGCTTCAAATCCATCTCTCTGTCTGACTAAAATTAAGGGTTTATGTAGC